GGGCTGCTAGGGCGGGGCTATGCTCAGTGGGCGGGGCTTGCAGGGGGAGGGCTGCTTAGAGTGGGTCCTCTGGGGGCGGGGCTTGCAGGGGCAGGGTGTCTGGGCTGAGCTCTTGGGGTGGGGCTATGATCGGGAGGCGGAGCTTGCGTGGGTGGGGCTGCAGATCAGGGCAGGGAAAGGGGGGGCACCAGCTGGTGCTGCTGATTGGAGGAGGAGGGTGCCGCCCACGCAGCCCATTGGGCAGGCGGCAGGGTGGGGCAGGGCGTGGCAAGGCATGCCCCGCCCACTCAAGGCTCCGCCCCCTCCAGGTTCTCCACCCGCTTCCCCAAGGGTGACGTGGCCGTCACCGTGGTGGAGTCGGCGGCCAAGGACGGCCGCGACGGCCCCGTCTGCAAGAAGAAGGGCAGCCACAAGATGGAGGTGCTGGTGCACTGAGCCCCCCCGGGCCCCCCCCGGGCCCCCATGGGCCCCCATGCACCCCACGGGCCCCACGGTGCTGCCACGCACCCATTAAAAGGAGCTTTGCTGGTGCCTCGGTGTGACGGTGACACTGCGGTGGGACCCCCCTGCACCCCCCTGGCAGGCGGCAGGGACCAGGGAATCCGGGCGATCCAGCTCCAGGGCTGGAGTCGCAGGCAGGGAGCCCCCCTGTCCCCCACCAAGCCCCCTGACTGCAGCGGGCAGGAAGGCCCCAAATTGCAGCCGTTTTTCCCTCAAGATCTGCAGGAGCCGCGACTGAGCCGGTGCCACCATTGCCCCCCCTGCAGCACCCCCAGGCCAGGACCCCCAGCTCAATGCAGAGCCCCCCAACCAGCCCCCCTGCACCCCTCCATGGCCGGGCCGCAGCCGGGAGGTGCCGCGGCCGCGCTGGGCTGCTCGGCGTGCAGCTGCGGCGCCGCTGCTGCAGCCGCCCCCGCAGCCCGGCCGGGCCGCCCCGCGGCCCCCCGCTGCTCCCGCTCCCGCTGAGGGGGCTGTTTTCCTTGTCACCCGGCTCGCTTGGCGCTTGGCACCTCCCCAGCACGGCGCCGCGGTCCCAGGTGGGCACCGGCAGCGAGCGCGCGGCTCCGCACGTGCCTGCGCGTGTGCCAGGGTGCAGGGGGGTGCATGTGTGGGGCGTGCGTGTCCCTGTGGGGGGCTGCATGTGCACATGTGTGGGGGGGATTGGGGGACGTGCGTGCTCGTTTGTGGGGTGTGCGTGCACGGTGCCATGTGTAGACGTGTGGGGCATGCACGTCCATGTATGGGTCATGCATGCAACCAGGGCTGCACGTGCACCCTTATGGGGAGCACATGTCTGCATATGGGGCCTGCGCGCACCGGGACCGCGTGTGCACACACGTGTGGGCTGTGCACGCACGCGGCACCGCTGGACCTGCCGTCTGCACGTGCCCCCGCCGCGTGGGCGCCCTCCCTGGGACCCCTCGGCCGTGCACCCGAAGGGGCGAGAGCCGTAAAGGAGCCTGGCGCAGCCTGGGGCGCCACACGCTTCGCGCCTGCCTGGCGCTTGGCATCGCACAAGTAGGTGTTATTAATTAATTAGGCCGTCGCTGGCCCAGCTCCCACTTAATTACCATCGGTGGCTCTGCAGATGCGACCCAGCCACGGGCCCTGCATGTTTGTCCCCCCACTGCAGGCAGCCCCCAGCTCCCTCCGGCTGCTCATCCCCATCTCTCATCGCCTCATCCTGCACGCAGCACCCATGGGACCCCCCATTGCTGCAGCACCCAGGGGTCCTCCTCATTGCTGCAGCACAGAGGGGGCTGCAGGGCCCGCATCCCCCTGCCACAGCCCCAGCTGGTCACAGAGGGGCTGGTGGGTGTTACATGGCTCGTGCATGCGTGTGCATGCATGTTCACACGTGCACGTGCATGTGTGCATGGAGGAGTGCCTGGGGCACAAGCGTGTGCAGCAGCGCGTGGTGTGGGGCCCATGGGTGCCTGTGCCCCGCCGTGGATGCCCGTGCCCCTCCCCACGGGTGCCCGTGCCCCGCCACGGGCGCGGGGGCCGGGGTCTGCCCGCCCGTTCCGCCCCGCGTGGGCGGCTCGTGACGGTGGCTGCGCCGGGGGCGCCGGCCCCCCCGCCCGCCCCCATTGGCGGCTCCGCGGCCCCCCCGCCGGGACCAGTCCCTTATTTAAGCGCGCGGTGCTGCGGCCGTCGCGGCCGCCTCGTCTCGCCGCGGAGCCGCCCGGGCGCAGGTACGGGGGGGTCCCGGCCCCGGCTCCGGCTCCGGCTCCGGACCGCGTGGCGGGGACGGGGACAGGGGACCGTGCGGGGTCTTTTTTGCTCCGTGGACTCGGGGAGCAGGGGGCGAGAGCAACGCGTGTTGCTCAGTGAGAGCTCGCGTGTCCGTTGCCGCTGACCGGGCGGTCCCCACGCGTGATACATGGCCCGTCCGCGGCTCCTCTGGCTCTCCCCTGCTCCCACCGCCCCGACCCTTCCTGCCGCCGCTCTCGACGGTGCCGCCGACCCGGGAGTGCCTCGGAGCCGGGAGAGCCCCGTCCCGGGGCGGCTTCTGCTCCCGGAGCCGGTCCTCGTGGGGACACGGGAACGTGGGGACACGGCGATGCAGAGACAGGGGAAGGTGGGGACAGGGGAATGTGAGATGGATGTGGGGACGAGGAGGTGAGAAAAGACATTCAGTGAGATGGGGACATGGGGACGTTGTGGCTCAGGGATGGAGGGACTGGGGGACACAGAACACGGGGACAGGGGATGTGGGAGGGAAACTGGGATATGTGACACTGAGATGGGGTGACAGTGATGCAGGGATACAGGGATGGAGGGACATGAGGATGCAGGAGACACAGGTACAGGAGGACATGGGGATACCGGGATGCAGCTACCCGGGGGTGCAGACGGCCACAGAGCCGTGGGGACAGGGGGACACCGCCCCCGTGGGGGGTGACCGCCGCCCCCCAGGCCGCCCCCGCCATGAGGAGCTGCCTGATGCTGCTGTCCCTGCTGCTGTGCCTGGCGCTGCGGTCGGGCCCCGCCGCCGCCGCCGCCCCCCCGCTCCCCGCCCAGGTAGGAGGCCGAGGCGGGGCCGGGATGCGGGATGGGGAGGGGTCCCGCTCTCACCCCGCCGCCCCGGAGACCCCCCGGCAGCGCCGGGGCCGCCTGCGCCGCCGCTCTCCTGCAGCGCCTGCGAGCGGAGGAGCCCGGTGAGCGGGCAGGAAGGGAGAGGGGGGCACCGGGACCGGGGGGACGCTCTGCCCGATCCGCCCCTCGGGGTCGGCCCCTCGACGCCGGCGCCTCCGTGTCTTGCAGGTCGCGGAGCGCTCGGGGCCGCTCAGAAGCGTAAGTGGGGACCCCCCGGCCCGCTCCGTGGCCGGACCCCCCGGCCGCGCTCACGCGGCTCTCTCCGCAGGGGACATGCACGATTTCTTCGTGGGGCTCATGGGCAGGCGGGCGGCGGAGCCCGGTAGGGCCAGGACGGGCGAGGGGGGCAGCCCGGGCGCTGCCGGGACCGGAGGCGCTGGCGGCACTGGGACGGGCGCCCACCTGCCCTTCGCTCCGCAGGGACCCCCGCGGGGGGGCGCCGGGCTGCCCCCGAGCAGCGCTGAGCTGCGGCCCGACGGGACGGACCCCCCCGCCGCCGGGAGCCGCTGCAGGGACGTCGTGGGAGCCGCCGGGGCCGGGGCTGGGCCCCCCCTCCGCCCAATTCCTCCCCCAAATATACTCAAATCCTCCTCGGTCACGACTGTGTCTGCGGCTCTGTGCGGGGGAGGAGGGAAAAGGCGGGAGGACCAGGGGCTGGGCGGGGGGGCTGTC